TCTGGTAGCCAGCTTAGGTCAATCCACCACAGACAGTTTGCACAGAGGCAATAAACATAAGGACACAATTTAGACTATATTGTTCAGCACTGTTTTTTCTCTGAGTCTCCCCAGCTACCTGCAAATGGATTTTGGTAAAAAAGTTCATCAGTCCATTACAATTATGCCCTAAGAATATCAATGTATAGATCAGGACTTAAACTACAATGATGAACATGAGTTAGCTCCAGAGAGAGCAAACATCCTTCCAACAATAATGCTTTTTGTCACTTTCTACTGGAGTTGGGTCAATTGGGAACAAAAACATTCATTTGTCTTGTTGAGTGAATTTGATTTTTTTCACTTTTTATCACCTTTCATTCTAATTTTGTCTTCTCACACAGAAGCATTTTATTTCATGCACTTTCTACACATATTTAAGAAAATGGATGTCAGCAGCACACACTTTCACATAAAGCTAAATGTCAAATTGATTAAATATTTCATGCTGGCAGGAAGTGCATACACACTTAACCAACGAAGGGAAAGAAGCAACACAATGTTGTTGGGGAGCCCAGCTGGTTCTGGGCTCTCTGTAAGCTGAAATCCTGAAGATGGAACTTCTTACACCTGGCAGAGGGTTAACCACGGACTGTAGGACTGTGACACAGAGTGGGTTTCCTGTTAGGATACTACCCTATGGTGTTAAGACATGTGGCTGTGTGTCCAATCATGAGTTGTTATGTTATTGGTAAACCAATGCTGTGTGTACATGTGTCACCCCAGAACTGTATAAAGGTAGCTGCACTGTTGCAATAAAAAAGCAACTGGTATCCTGAAACCCATGTCACATCCCGCCTCGATCGCGACACAATGTGATGTCTCTGACAATTTTTAAAAAGTATAAGAAAACCATGATCTTCTTTTAGATGCTAAATGGCTTGAAATTGGGTGCTGGGTAAACCTGACTGGTTGGATTACTTATTAATCTAGCTGTAATCCATTTAACAAATGTGTAAAAGATTAAAAAGTCTATGCAATTACCTTTCCCCTGAGCTATGCCATGTCCTTTTGCTTTGTGAGGCTGTTGAAAGACTCTCTGCTATTCTATAATTTCACTTTAGGAGTTCTGAACCTAGTCTCCCTAAAGAGATAGAAATATAGTATGTACCAGCTAATTTAATTTTAGTCAAGAAAGTATAGTGAGAAAGAGAGGAGGGTCTCAATGCCATTTTGATACTTATTGTATTTCTGAAAGACTGCCATTTCTAATTGTACATGCTTTGAAGCACACAAGAATGGCAGTTCAAGCATCCATCTCACAGGAGCTTTCAAAGCAGGGAAAGGAAAAGCTGACAGTGGCTGCCTAGGAAAATAAAAAATCTGAAGGGCTAAAATTAACCCTTAACCACACAAACCCCAGAAAATCTCACTACACCAATAAATTCAATCCTAAATCAGTTTTTGTATATGTCCTTTTCAGTAGTCACGTATTATAATTATTTACTTCATAGAGAATAAACTCTTCTGGACAGGCGTCCTAGCATTAGCAATGTTTAGAGAAGGAGCATCACTCCTCTGAATACACTGCAAATAGCAATATATGCCATATATCACTGTCTTTTAAATAATTCTGGAAAAATTGGATGCTAGAAAACAATTAATTTTCCTTAATCTTTCATGTGAAGAATTTAAAAATATTTTTAGTCTCCTTCTTGTAGATCGATACAACTTTCATTAAGATTTCAAAGAAACCAGGTTCAAGCCAAGAAAAGCTGAGTAGCTTTGTTAACATAGTGCTGGGCTTCTGTTTATAGGCCTAGTCACTTTGCAGGACATATTTTGTTCAAAACAGTGCTGTATCAGATAGGTAGAAGTTCACAATTTCCTTGGGCTAGCTTAACTCAGACAGCAGTGTTCAACTCTAGCCTAATACAACCATGTAGTTATAGCCTAGGCAAAAAAGAAATTGCTTAACCAAAATCATATAACAAATGACAAGGCTGGACTAGAAATCCACTCTGCTGCTCCCACACTTGTGTGCTTTAAGACCTATTCAAAAAGAGTCACTCCTATTTTGGACACCTATACTTTATTTCTTTAATTCTATGTCCATCTTTGTCTTCTGCACAACCTTTCATACAACTGCATATAGTTAGCAACCAGTGAAAATGAAAACACATTTTTCTTTCCTCAGACTAAAAGGAAGCAAACTCTGAATGGCACGACAAAGGCTGCTCTAGTCAGCCTCTTTCTCTGCCTCACTTATCACCAAAATATTGAATGGTGACTAAATATTGACATGTTTTATTGTAACTGAGGATTAAATTCACAGGAATATAGAAGGAGAGAATGAGTTAGAAAACTACAGCAGGCAGACACTGGATCTGTATTTAAAGAATACTGGAAATATCAGTCTTCCTTCAATCAGTTTTGACTGACCTCTTATCTTGGTTGGAACTACAGTAAATCAAACTTCACCACATATTCAAATGTCATTTGTCCATAACACAAAATGATTTTCAACACAATCATCTTTTCAATATCCCACATCAATTTTCATTGCAGTTTTCCAAAGTATTCTTAATATAAAATGCTGTTTAAATGGAAAAGGTGAAGTGCAGTGTCACAAATGAAAATAATGACACTGAGTAACTAAAGACAGTGATGAATTCTTACCTAGATCCCTCAAGAGCAGGGCAAGAATAACTGATTAATTTGCACCAAGGAAGTAGGGGATGATATATTAGGAAAAAGTCCAGCTATGGGGATAGCTAGGCATAGGAACAGCCATCAATATATTGAAATGTCCACTATTGGAAGTATCTAAGAAGAGGGAATAAAATCATCCGCCAGAAATTATTTGTCAGTGTTTTCCATATGTCCTGCACGCCCCTATGAACTTGGGAAGAAAAACTACCAGTGAAGGTAACAGAGAAAGATAGCTTAATGTTGTATTCAACATCTAGGATGTGTAAAAAAAAGGTGGAATACCAAGGGTGTATTAAAAAAAAAAAAAAATTCAAAATCATTCACTAGTTCCAATTCCCAGTAGGAAAATGCTCTCGAAATCCTTTTCCTCCCCTTCTGTGGGAGATAATCAATCACACCTCAACATTCCTTTTTGCATCAGTTGTGCCAAGTCTGTAATAATCTTTTATGATCATCTACATATTTCAAAGCGTTTCACAAATAATAGATAAACCCCTGTGACACTGAGGATCCTAACAATACTGTATGTGTTCACAGTTTCTCTCATGTAAACACTGCCAAGAGATCTCAGCAAATTAACAAACTCAAGAGTAATTTCAAAACCTGATTAAACAAGGTCTTTGTCACACATGCACCAACTAGGTACAATGATTTGTCATCAATGTATTAGCAGATTTTTTTTTTTAGGAGACGTGCTCTATTCCACTATACATTACAAAATGCTGGTCCACCTGTTACAAGATTAATAGACAGCCATAAATCAGACTCCTTTCTTTTGTTGGTTTTAAGGAAAAATATGATAACCACATGTAAAGCTGTTCTTGATGATTATTTGCAAGAACTTCCAGATTCTGACCCAGCCTCTCTGCTGTCAGCACTGCAGTCTGAGTGTGCCCATGAACCTAAAATGGACTGCCCAAGAGTTACTCTTTTGCAAACACAGCCTTAGAGCTCCTGCTACTGAGGCTATACAAATGGCAGGGAAACAACAGGAAGCCCAAGGCTGGCTTGAGCAGGTATCCGCCAGAACGTACCCACTGACATTAAAAAAATCTCTGCAAAAGTCACGGCCATGGGATGCTGGGATACTTTCCCCTCCCTCCTCCCTCTCCCAGGCACTGCACTTTTCTAATGCATATGTGACAGCTCACTGGTCAAAAGAATGGATGTGCTAAGGCAGGACATGAACTCCAGGAATAGCTGAAAGCATCAGGCTTTTTTTCTAGTTTGGCTTCAGGACAGCAGACCTCAGGGGAGTTCCTAGCTAACACTTACTGGCATTAGCATGAAGATGCACTGCCACTGACACCATTTGTAGCACTACTTACAGAGCTGCCAAGTCCAGACGAATACTTGAGGGAGGTTTGTCTTGTGCTGGAGTGAGATTGTACACTCTGCTGGAGGGCAGTTTGAATTTAGTTTGCCTTGCTTTGCCTTCTCTCTCTCCTGACCTCTCTTCCACACTGCCCTCCTCCAAATCCATCCATCTGCTCTTGTCCCTCACTTCTCTCCAACTGTGCTGGCAGTGTGGGAGGTAGCATACCCGTAACTCCCTGTTCAGCTCCTCTTCTTGACACTGTCCTTCCTGTTGCCTCTGATACTTGAACCCATATTCGTGTGTGACAGGACTCATCAATGAACTTCAGGTATGGGAAAATGAAAAATAGAATAGAGGAGTATTACAGTGAGGAACAGGAGGAGTTGAGGGGAGAATAGAAATGATTGACAGGGACAAGTCCCAAATATGGAACCTTCCTGCTTAAAGATTGGTGACTATGTTTGTTCCAACACACTCACTGGCAGCAGTGCTATCATCAGCTTTATGGAGCTATTTATAGAGAAACTGAATACAGAGAAATCTATGAAAAATTCTCACCTTTCTCCTTCTGAAATAAGACTAAAACCAATAGATCACTGCTAAAACCTGTTTCCCTAGCAATAGATTGGTATTTCTCGCTCTTGCTAAAATTGGGAGTTTTAGTTCATGCAGGTCTCTGCTCTGTCAAGAGCCAAATAGCAAGCAAATGCTTTTGACTCAGGATCTTGGGGTATAAAGATGACTTTATGAAGAGAGTTTCTGTTTCCTCAAGTAATATAAAAAATAACTGCTTTCTTGTCATATGGTACAAGCACCAAGGAATAAACAGCTGCTCTCTGGTTTTCTGCAGATCTCACCCTTCAGTGAACAACAGGCATGTTGAACAGTGATGCTGCTGCTTATTCATAACCTTTTCCTAAAGACTAAACCAAAATTTTTTCATTGCACCGTGACATGCTTTGGATGAAACAAGTTGACTACTTTTCCTCACCAGGAAGTGTCCCAGGGTTCCAGTAACATTTAGGAGGAGTCTGAATCTCCCACCACAGGATTTCAGTGTGTTTGGCTTCCAAGTACTCACAGAATGATGTAGGGTCAGAGTTTTTGCTGGAATCTTCCAAATATCCCATCTCAAGGATTCAGAAAAGAAATTCAGCCAATGGTCTCATGGGCAGACCAACAAGTGAAGGAAACCTAAGTCCTGCAATTTAGCATAAGAAGAACATACAAAGAGAACATTCTTATTGAAGGAAACCTAGTGGTAAACCAAGTAGAGGAGACAACACAGCAAAGATTCACACTGGCCTTCCTAGTAGGAAGTTAATTAATCCACATTTGAAACGTGATTAATGCTGGCTGTCTGCCAGGGGTACAGCCTAACAGTGGACTGGAGGAATTTCTTGATTCACCTCAGTCATGCAAAGGGGAACTTTGCAGCACCACCAACTGGACTGTGAGATGCTCAGCTGGGGCTATACCATATCTCCTACAGGACGCTCTTGTGTTACTAGCTAAGGTCACATATGGGTAAGGCCAGAAAAACACACACAATATCATCTCTAATCCCAAAATAACAGTTGTGTAAGCACTTATTGTTCCCCTTCAAAGAGGTCTTGCGGAACCCTTACGGATGTATCTGCACATTACTGACCATAACTAAAGAGCTCATACTGACGATCATGTGTAAAAACAAGAAGTAAGAATTTCTGCATCGGTCTAGTGGTATCTTCCCCAGTCTGACCAATGATTAGGATCTACCAAAAAATACTTTGAATTCAAGTGAATCTCATTAATGATCTTCTATTTCAGTTGGTTGATAATTTCTCAACTTTTCTGTGCAACAGTAATAAAAGTGGATCTTTCATCATGTGATAATGGTCAGAAATCTTGTAAGAAGTACATCATAGAATCATAAAATCAACCAGGATGGAAAAAACCTCTGAGATCATCAAGTCCAACCCTTGATCCAACACTGCCATGGTTACTAGACCATGGTACTCAGTGCCACATCCAGCCTCATCTTAAATAACTCCAGAGATAGTGAATCCACCACCTCCCTGGGCAACCCATTCCAATGCCTGATTACTCTCTCTGTAAAGAACTTCTTCCAAATATCCAACCTAAACCTCCCCTGGCACAGTTTAAGACCATGCCCTCTTATCCTACAGCTGGTTACCTGGGAGAAGAGACCGACCCCACCTGGCTACAACCTCCTCCCAGGTAGCTGTAGAGAGTGACGAGGTCACCCCTGAGCCTCCCCTTCTCCAGGCTAAACAACCCCAGCTCCCTCAGCCTCTCCTCATAGGACTTGTGTTCAAGTCCCTTCACCAGCCCTCGTTGCTCTTCTCTGGACCCGCTCCAGCACCTCAATGTCCTTCCTGAACTGAGGGGCCCAGAACTGGACACAATACTTGAGGTGTGGCCTCACCAGTGCTGAGCACAGGGGAAGAATCACTTCCCTGCTCCTGCTGGCCACACTGCTCCTGATACCCACCAGGGTATTTTTTAGTTCAGTGGAGCTATACTATTTGCATAACCTGAGAATTTAATCTATTTAGCAGTCTTAAGTTCCCATACACATTAACACTCAGATAAAGTGAATGAAAGCTTTTCAATACTTTAAAAATCTATTCTGGAATGGGGTGAACATACATATAACACAGCTACTACAAAGTTACTCTGTGCAAAATCGATGTTTCACAAGGAAAAGAAGGTTGCTGTTTGAAATGCCCTTGTTCAGCATAGCCACTTTTATTTTCTCTTTTTCTAAATGCTTCATAGCATACATATTTTTCTTTAACATTTTCAGTGTGTAAGTTTCACCAGTAAAGCTGCCACAGTCAGAAATTATTTACCTGTGGAGTCTGCATATATGACAATTACTAGAAACTGACTGTAAGTCAAAGGGATCAGTTAAGCAAAAGGAAGTAGGTTAAAGAGACATCAGACCCATTATCCTGCTCATGACATCATCACTAGGAGGTTGGTTGGGGCTCCAGGTGGCTGCCAGGTTGCACAAAGCTGGCTTGGAGTTTGCTATATAGTATATAATTTAGAGTACCTTAGATGATAAGGAGTCTGATACAACTACTGAATTACATAAGAATACTCAGCTTCTATCCAGAGAATAGTGCAAAAATACAATTGTAATTTGAACTATGATAAAACTCTATAGCTACATAAAGATAGCATCTCCTGGTATGGTATGTACTTCACAGTGTTGCCATACTGCATCACTGAAATGTGGCTACATGCATTCACATGTCAGACTTAACAAAGAGACAATAAAGGAAACCTAAGGCCCCACAATCAATTTTATCCACAATTTAGCTCTACCTAAGCAAAAACATGCCTGCACAGTATATAGCAGGTGAACATAAACTCATTTTCCTGCCGTCAGAGCTTGGGAATACAAATGAAATCACTGCTAACAATTTAAAGCTCAGATTAGCATTTTATAACCTTCATCAGAGCTGCACTAACCATTACAATGTAACTTCACATAACATCAAAGCAAGTACTAACTGAGAATTGAACCAACAGGAAAAAGTGGTGTACACCTGCCTTAAATCCTCCTAACAAGAGGATTAACCCAAAGCCATTTTAGCTAAAGAGTAAAATACGAGCAGAAACAACCTTTGCCTAATTTCTTTCCTTTGCTGTAACTTAGAATACATCCCATTAGCATCAATACAGATGTAGTCAAATTGGTCAGTGCAGCCTAGAGAGTTTTTACATTTACTGAGAGTTTTAAATTTACTGAAAGTTCTCCAGGCTTCATGAACCATACTTGCCTTAATCTCCCCTAACCATAACAGGTCCTTAGAAACTTAGAATACCTTAGAATTTCAGACACCTACCTATATTTAGCTGTTTTATTCTCCATCTAAGTCACACTCAAAAGGTGTGATTCAGTTGCCCATCCATATTATGTATATATAATGGCCAGTCTTCGCGAGCGAAGATCCGGGGAAGGTCTTTACACCTTCCAGCCTGCGCATGGGATTTTTTAGGTGAGACACAGTGTGCGGAACTGAGCCCACCCTTTAATCCTAAGGTTCATCTGCCGGGGCCAAGCGAGCTTGGACAGTGGCAGTGAGGTCCTCAGGACGTAGATGGATTGCCTTTAAGGGCTAACGAGCTCCATCTGCCCGGGAGTGTCCCTGACCGGGAATCGAACCCAGGCCTTGGCGGTGACAGCGCCGCGCCCTTAACCACTAGACCACCAGGGGCTCCCCATATTATGTACTACCAAGCAAAAGGTTATGGGATACGCTAATTGGCCTTAAGCTGTTGCTCCAGAAGGGCAGAGGTCTCCCTTAGGTCCACTATCACATATACCAGTCCTATACAAATATCTCAGCTACCTTAAAGTCTCTTAAATGTCAGCAGATGCCTGTTTTTAGAAAACCAAATCAACAAAAACTGTCTGGTAGCAGTAAGAAATTCAGGTCATAAGGTTACATGTCAGTATATCATTGTAACTTAATAATGGGCTCTGCTTCTTATGAAGGCAAATTAGGATGGTGGCTGTAGCATCATGAAGAAGCAGTGCTGCTGCTGTTTCTGTAGCTGTCACGACTGCTGCTACTCAAGGCCTGTGTCCAACAGTTTCTCGTGGAATCCAAACTTAGCAGCCTCAACATATAAGTAATCAGTGATGGATCTGAGTTAGTCAGGAGGAATGCCTTTGAGATGTGTGCTTCCTTCATTTGAACTGTGAGCTTCTTCAGTACCATTTTTCATAATTCTTCCATCAATGAGGTTTTTCACACATAATAGCTAGTGATTGCCTTTTGTTTCTTGAAAATTAAAACCTGAAACTTGAGAGGATAAAAGCCCTGTACAAGCTGTCAGTATGGATTTTCTGCTTTCAAATCATGCTGGTATTATTATATTACAGTATCAAGTAAGAGAGAAATAATCCAACCAACCCTTCAACAACGTATTACTGACTTTTCAGAAACTCAGTGGCACAAGTTTAAGGTGCCAAAATCCTCATCCAGTAAATTCAGTAGCATGTTGTTTTTTTCTTCCTAGGGAAGAAAAGATGAGTCAGTCCTGCTGAGATATGAACATATGGCCCTAACAAATCTCAAAACCTGATGCTTAAAGCACTGTGATGATCCTGCAGGATACTGCTACCAAAATAACTTGTACGGCTTTCTAAGAAGATTTTTTAGGGTGTTATCTTTTGTTATCCCCTACTAGTTAAACAGTCTTCAGCAAAAAAAAAGTCACACACTCATAAATAATCCATGGATCATCAGAAAAAGTACTGAAGCAATTACAGATCTATTGAATGCATCTATTTGGGGACAGAATTGAGGAACAAATGGAAGAGACATAAGACTGTTTCTCTAATGAGAGACTAGCCAAATAGATCATCTATGAAAGATACTTACTTCATGTGATAAAAATACTCTGTAATATGTCCATGAAATTATTTATACTGCGATTTAGTTTTGCTCACACAGGAAGGCCTTGATATGTGCCTGAGGAACCAACAGAAGACATCAAAATACTTCAGGGACTTCATAAATACGACCTAGGTTATACACTTACTTCTAAAAAGTAGAAAGAACATTATGTGCTTGAAAGCAGTGAATTCTAGTTGAAGGCTGCCAAACTTATTTTCATGTCCACACTTTCTTTTTTTCAGAGCATTTTCAGCCTTAGTACAGGTACACCCTGTTCATTCTGCATTTTTTGCACTTCTGGCAGCAGATCTGATCCTGTCACACTTTGGACTCACTCTTTTGCAATCCACGTTTCCTGAAGCAGTTTTGCTTCGTCTCTCCTTGTGGGGTCTTTATTTCTTTTCAAACGTCAAATTTCAAATAACAAACTCAAACAAAATGCTAGACCTAACTATGCCAGAATTAAAAAAATAAATAAATAATAATAAAAAAAAATTTTGAACCCACATCCAGACTTTGCAACTGATCACTACTGCTATTCAGGACTCCAGATGCACTCCTAAGTGCAACAAATTTCACTCCCTTTCATATATGTTATATTTCATGCCCCTTGTCACAACTCCAGCTCTGTGCAGGATAGTGCCTTTGTTTTAAAAACAGGAAAATGAAATGAAGCTAAGCTTCTGTGTTCTCTTCTACCTCTTTTTTCCCCTCATACAGATTTTGATAACAGATTCTATCATCCTACTGGCCTTCATTTGAACTTCCAATACCAGAATAC